TTATGCCTTGGCAAACCAGACAGATATCAGGATTCTGCTTTATCCAAAATAAAATGCTGATCAGCATTAGAATTTTCTCTTTAATTATGTGAAAAATTATTTTTAAGCCAGGATAATATCCTTTTTCAGAAACACAAGACTGCCCTTTTCTACAATGAATTCCAAAAGATTTTCCCTCAAGTCTTAGTGCTCCCCTACCCTCACCTCCACCCCCCCCACCCCTGCCATGGCTTTGTGCCACTAGAGGGACATCGTGTCTCAGCTGTCCACAGGTGCCTCTACCTTGGTTCTGACTAGGTCTCTCTACCTCCACTTCTACCTAACCCACTGTCTTCTCTCACCCAAATTTCACAGCAGCCTCCTGGCTGGCCTCTCTGCTGTCTGCCTTCCTCCTCTACACTCTAGCCTCAAAAGAGAAGCCAGAATGATTCTTTCAAGGTGAAAGTCAGATCATGTCACCTCTATGCTCTAAATCCTCCAAGGATCCTTTTTACCAAAGTAAAAGCCACAGTTTTTGCTGATTTTGCTTCACTTACCGTATGCAGCCAGGACACCACCAATATTCTCCTTCACTTCTTTGACATCATCTCCTGTGTTCTTGTTTATCTCTTCTCTATTGGTGAGCATTTGGGTAGTTTCTAGTTCTCTGCTTTATTTTTTTTCTATAGAATCTTATCATCATCTGATGTTCTGTATATTTTGTTATTTGTGTATCATCTGTTTTTCTCCATAGCCACCCCTTAATGTAAATTCCATGAGGTTGGNAATTTGAAAAAAAAAAAAAAAAACCTCACAGTTGATCTGTGTGACAAAGAAGACATGTTCTTCTCCATGTATATCATTTGCATTTGATTTCATTTCATTAGATGCTTATATTTTCTAGCAAAAATCATCTAACTCAAGCGCACATCAAAAAGGATAAATTTTATATAATAGAATGGTAGGTCAACTTTTGTGGGGATTATATGCACCTTGATGGGATATGTTGGCTGGATCAGAGCTTCTGGGGTCAGGTCCCTTCATATGTTTGTATGTAGCTGGTTCTTCCTTGTACTTGGGGAAATTGCAAGCACTCTTCCTCATTTTGAAGCTCCTTGGTGAACCCCTCAAAGGCCCTTGCAGTTACGTGGAAATTGCCCTAGCCTCAATGCCCATTACATAATGGAATTCCCAACTGAGGCAAGCACAGTTGTTGTTTTCTTCTCTCTCTTTAGAAATTCACTAAGGCCAAACAGGTTAGGGTTAAGAACTGAAATGGCCCAGATTTACTCTGTGACATTGAACGATTCTGGAACAGAGTCTTCACAGCTCATGGGAGGTGGGTTTTGTGAGCCTTTCGTGTCCCCTCAAACCTGTACATGGAGTTTAATCCTATGTTGGTCATAATTTCTTACTACAAGTTCTGCATAATGCTGCCATTTAGTAAGTTCTGATCATCTAAGTAACTTGACTAGTTAATATAACATCTGATCAGAAAAATGGATTTAAGAAAAACTATTTTTTAAATAGTAAATCATTATATTATGAAGTTATGATGTGTAATATGATATGTTCCTAATGTTTGATCAGAAAAAGAAGACTAACGTTTGCTGTTTAGACTGTGTGCTTTAAAGCTATAACTGTATAAAAATAAGTGGGCATTATGTTTCATGAATTTTATGCCTTGGCAAACCAGACAGATATCAGGATTCTGCTTTATCCAAAATAAAATGCTGAT